AATAGACCACATATTAGGCCGTAAAGCAAGCCTTAACAAAATCCAAAACATCAAAATATTACAAAACATCTTTTCTGACCATAAAGCCATAAAAGTGGAAATCAACAGCACAAAAAGCAAGGAAAAAAAAATCAAACACATGGAAACTGAACAACACCTTGCTCAAAAACTACTGGGTTATGGAAGAAATTAAGAAGGGAATAAAGAAATTCATGGAATCAAACAAGAATGAAAACACATCCTACCAGAACCTTTGGGACACAGCAACAGCAGGGCTCAGAGGTCAGTTTATAACAATAAATGCATACATCCAAAAACAAGAAAGGGCCATAATCAAAACATTAACCCTACAACTGGAACAAGTAGAAAGAGAACAGCAAAAGAAACCCACAGGCGCCAGAAGGAAGGAAATAATAAGAATTAGAGCAGAATTAAATGAAATAGAGAATAGAAAAACAATTAAAAGAGTTAACAAGTCCAAAGCTGGTTTTTTGAAAAGATCAACAAAATTGATAAACCATTGGCCAAACTGACAAAAGAAAAACTGGACAGGAAGCAGATAACCCGTATAAGAAACGAGATGGGTGATATCACAACAGACCCAACTGAAATTAAAAGAATCATAACACATTACTATGAAAAATTGTACTCTAACAAATTTGAAAACCCTGATGAAACGGACAAATTTCAAAACTCACTACCTCCCTAAATGAACACAAACAGAGGTAGAACAACTAAATAAACCCATAACAAAAGAAGAGATTGGAAAGGTTATTAAAAAACTCCCAACAAAAAAAAACCCTGGCCCAGATGGCTTCACTGGAAAATTCTACCAAACTTTCAGAGAAGAGGTAACACCACTTCTACTAAAGGTATTTCAGAGCATAGAAAAGGATGGCATACTCCCAAACTCATTCTATGAAGCCAGCATAAACCTAATACCAAAACCAGGTAAAGACATCACAAAAAAAGAAAATTACAGTCCAATATCCCTCATAAACATTGACGCAAAAATCCTCAACAAAATTCTAGCCAATAGGATTCAGCAACATATGAAAAAAATAATTCACCATGACCAAGTGGGATTTATACCAGGTATGCAGGGATGGTTCAATATTAGAAAAACAATCGATGTAATCCATCAAATAAATAAAACAAAAGACAAGAACCACACGATGTTATCAATCAATGCAGAAAAGGCATTCGACAAAGTTCTATACCCATTCATGATAAAAACTCTCAACAAAATAGTAATAGAAGGTAAATTCCTCACTATAATTAAGGGCAACAGCCAACATCGTCCTAAATGGAGAGACTTTGAAAGCATTCCCCTTGAGAACGGGCATGAGACAAGGATGCCCTCTATCACTACTCTTATTCAACATTGTGCTGGAGGTCCTAGCCAGAGCAATTAGGCTAGAAAAAGAAATAAAAAGCATTCAGATTTGAAGGGAAGAAGTCAAAGTATCTCTATTTGCAGATTATATGACGTTATACACAGAAGACCCCAAAGAATACACAAGAAAACTACTGGAACTAATAGAAGATTTCAGCAAAGTTTCAGGATACAAGATAAATATACAAAAATCAGTTGGATTCCTTTACACCAACAAAGAGAAGGTTGAAGAGGAAATTTCAAAATCAATACCATTTACGACAGCTCCCAAGAAGATAAAATACTTAGGAATAAATCTAACCAGAGACCTAAAAGAACTATACAGAGAAAACTACAAGACACTACTGCAAGAAACTAAAAGAGACCTGCATAAGTGGAAAAAAATACCTTGCTCATGGATAGGCAGACTCAACAT